CAATGCATTTTTTATTCTAAAGAAAAATATGTTGCTCTTCATAATATTTCATGAAGTCGTATATTTTTCAACCATTTGTCGTATAAAAACACATTTCACCTTTTAATCAAGTTCTCAAATTTCAATCGTCTTAAAACTTCACTTTGTCCGTTTCACTCAGAAATGCCACATTACAAAAGTAAATACGTTTCAGAGAAAGACACTCACCCAGTATGTATTTGGAGCCGAGCCGACGGAGGTTTTTGAACTGGATGTAGATGTAAACGATGGCGACGCATCTCGTAACGGTTAAAATGATCACGTCGCCGCTTAGAATTTTCTAAAAATGTGCAACACAAATATTTGCATGTTAAAATCCGTTCTCACGTAACATAACTTGTATGTTATGCTTCTGTAAAGATCATAATTCACAACCGTACAGTTTACAGCAAACATTGCAACCCATACCCTGAGCTACACCTCGGTAGGTCATAAAACAATTAAAACGGGAACCAAGCCATAAACCTTGTGTGTAAAGCAAAGAGGAACAAATAGAGATCTACAAGAGCAATTTCTGAATGGAGAGTGGAAAGGATCTATACAATATGACCAATATGGCTGAACTTGACCCCCGTACCTCCTGCGCTTTGGGACACTGACGGTTCCAGGCGCAGATCTGGTCATTGGTAGCGAAAGCGTTCATGGACATCAGACACATCGTCACGGCAACCGTTCCCACGATCACCTCCCACGGATGAGAGGCGACCAACAGGCCGTGGAGCCGGAAGAGACGGGACAGCATCATCAGGGCTTCAGCAGGACACCTGATAACAGAACACAAACTTATTAAAATTGTACAAAGTGTAGCAATTTTACTCTTTTTCTCCCAACATGTGGAAACCAATAAAATCCTCAAAATTGTGACAATTTTAATAAAAAAAGTGATAAACACTTTATAATATTATTAAAACAACTCATATTATTCTGTAATAATATGATATACGATAAACTATTTTTTTTGTAAAAAAAAATTCTCATACTTATTTCAGTCAGTAATTATTTTGCACTCTTTACCAACTTTTTCATGAGTTAATTTTTAATGGATTTAAACAGTTAGTCATCTCTTGAGAAGATCTTACTGATTACTGATCAAAACCATTCATAAATCACACCCATCAGCTAAGTAATGAAAGCTGTCATTAATATATATATATAATAATTATTTTTTTTTAACAAGAGTTGATAAACTGAGTCTGGTTAGCAGGACACCTGATAACAGAACACAAACTTATTAAAATTGTACAAAGTGTAGCAATTTTACTCTTTTTCTCCCAACATGTGGAAACCAATAAAATCCTCAAAATTGTGACAATTTTAATAAAAAAAGTGATAAACACTTTATAATATTATTAAAACAACTCATATTATTCTGTAATAATATGATATACGATAAACTATTTTTTTTGTAAAAAAAAATTCTCATACTTATTTCAGTCAGTAATTATTTTGCACTCTTTACCAACTTTTTCATGAGTTAATTTTTAATGGATTTAAACAGTTAGTCATCTCTTGAGAAGATCTTACTGATTACTGATCAAAACCATTCATAAATCACACCCATCAGCTAAGTAATGAAAGCTGTCATTAATATATATATATATAATAATTATTTTTTAACAAGAGAGTTGATAAACTGAGTCTGGTTCACTAGCATTAGCATGATCACATTTTAATAATTTGAGCAATAACAGTCACCATCAACATATCAGCATTATCATATTGCCTTTGTAACACATTAAAGAAAACGCAAAGCTATTAATATCGTCTCAAAGTAAGTCAGTCAATAAAGCTGAGCTGACAGCATGCTAAGCTAATTAGCATAGGCTACAGGAGTCACAGCTGTCACTGAGCCTCATATTTAACAGTAACACCAACAAATACCAGTATAATTCATTATATCGCCTGGAGTAAGAGATTTAAGATTGACTTTAAATATATAGCTCTTAATTTTGGTAATATTCTAACTTACCCTCATCTTTTCCCCTCTGATCGGTGTCCGTGACTGTAACTGACGTAATCCGCCCTTCTTCTTCTTCTTCTTCTTCTTCTTCTTCTTCTTCTTCGTCGAGGTGTTACGGCAGCTGGCATCCAAATTGGTGCATTACTGCCACCTAAATTCCCTTCACACTATATTCTCTTGTCCAGTCCAGTTTCTTTTTACAAAAACTAATAAATATGTCCTGCCTTTTTGTTTCTCTGCACATTCTAAAATACTTTTAACATTTCCATTTCCCTCTACTCATCCTTAATTCTGTAACTGGGTCATCATTTCTTGTCTTTCTTGAGTAAACTTCCTACAAGATATTAGAACATGCTCAACCGTCTCATACTCCTGACACTGGGCGCACATTCCTGTTGGGTGCTTTCCCATGATATGAAGAGTGCCATTAAGGTTGCTATGCTCCATTCTTATTCTGCTTAAAATGACTTGTTCTTTCCTACACTCTATAAAATGCTGGGTTGTTTCAACCCAATGTTGGGTCAAATATGGATTAACCCAACCGTTGGGTTAAATTTTGGTTACATTTTTAAATTAACTTTTTAACCCAACGATTGGGTTTGTTCTGGAACAGTGTTGTAAATACAACTTAACCACTGATTTCTAGTTGTGTCTTTCCAAAAGAGCCGACGGCTTGAGTGAGCGGAGGCTCGTGGCAACCACATGTGACAACCCTGGGCTGGACTCCGCTTCGTCCACGGTGAAATCCGATCCGGCGATCCACAGCGAAGTTGATGTATTTCCTCAGCGACCAGCACGGATCAGCTCCAGGCATGACGAAGCAGATATTGTCCTCTTTTGGAAGACCAAACAAAGTAGTTTTGCTTTCACAACGAAACACACAGTGTCTTCAGGACATGGCGGCGGCAACAATACTACAGCGAGAATAAAAGTTACCTTCTTTCTTTGCGTGAACATTTGGGCGGCATTATGCAAATCTTCCCACATAGTGATGTAGATATGTGGGGGCGTGTTAGAACGAGGCGTTTTAGGCAGGCGTGGCTGACTCTTAACTTTTATAAAAAATATCTCTTTGGATTTGAGACTTTAGTCTTTGCAACTTTACAGATCTTCTTTATGCACCAAGAGCTTGTAACACTCCAAAGAGAAAGGAAAACTTGAAATCGCATCATATGACCCCTTTAACGTGTACACCTACCCCAACCCTAAACCTACCCTTACAGTAATGAAAATACAGTTATTATGCGGTTTTCAGTGTTAGAAAAATTGACGCAATATTGATGTGCACATGCGCAGTAAGACCTGGTAGGACAATCTGACGGGTAGCATGAAATAAATGTCAGGGCACCGGAATCGTAATCCGCCCTCAACGGGCTCGCACACGACACGCCCGGAGCAAGCAAGCCAATAATCGAGCAAGCACCGCCCACTACAGTTACATCATCTTAGGTCAACGGGGTCAAGTGTGTGTAATTATTATTTAGTATTAATAATAGTAATTACTGATTTTAATTTATTTAATCGAGTTTGACATGGAGCAATGAAAAGAAACATTATAAAGTTTCAAGTTTAATTTACTTATATAGCACCATTAAAACAGCGGCAGCTGACCAATGTGCTTTAGAGCATCAGATAAAACAAAAACAAGCAAAACAATTTAAAAAATATCACAGATGAAATCAGACACAAATTATCAACAGGATATCAAAAGAAAAACAGAACAACAACAGAAGTCGAATTTAAAAATTAATCATCAAGGGACATTAAAAATATAATGGAAAATGGAAAAATGGAAAAATAATGAGTTTTAAGCAAAGGTCTGAAAATCTGTATTGTAGGAGCAGATCTAATATGAACTGGTAACCTGTTCCAGAGTTTAGGACCCGCGACAGCAAAGGCACCTTCACCTCTTTGTTTAAGTCTGGCTCTGGGATCATTGAGCAATCTATGACTACCAGATCAAAGAGCTTGAGGGTTATGTGGAGATAGAAGATCAGATAGATATGAGGGGGCTAAGTTGTTTAGGGACTTAAAAACTAAAACTAGGGGTTTGAACTCCACTCTAAACCGGACAGGCATCCAATGTAATGATGCTAACACAGGTGTAATGTGAGTGGATTTACGGAGGCCCAATAAAAGTCTTGCTGACGCATTTTGGACCAACTGGAGATGGGCCAGGGAAGTAGTGTTTATTCCACAATAAAGTGAGTTACAGTGGTCTAACCGTGATGACTGCAGCACCAGATGGGACTTTAGTCTGAGGGCTATTCCTCCATGCTTTCCGCATCTTCTGCGATTTCTGCGTTTCCTCTGGGTTACAGCGCAGGTGGGGCGGCGGAGAAAGGCAGGTATGTCCTCCAAGCAGGGAGGAACACGACAACATGGTCCTTTCAGATCGCAATGTAGATGTTCAATAAAACCTTGAATATCCAAAAGTTGTGCATGTTGGTTGATAGACCCGTTGGGTGGAACAATGATTAATTAAAAGCAACGCAATATAAATAAAAACAAACAAAGTACCAGAGAGACGGCATGACAACAACAACGGCGCCATCTTAAATCCAAAATTCATAAATAATTATGAACAGAAGATCATAAATTAGTTTTCTTCATGTAGCCAGTGGTGTTAATAATGGACAAGGGAAAACACTGGGGATTTTAGCTAAATTCTAAAATAAATATTAAACGATAAATGACAAATAGCCTACATATAATTCATAAATAAAAAATAAACTGCAGTTAGGCGCAACATTCTGAGCAAATCAATAGTAACCTAAGAAATGTATTAAGTATAAGTAAAAACAAAAGCTTAAGACACCTTTAATATGTAGGGGGCAGACAGGTGTGACAGAACAGGTAAGAACAGGCTTTTGCTTCTTTCACTTTCGATACAGGCTTTTTTTGCGGAAGATCCTCTCAGACCCAAAATGTTTTTATTTTGAGATTTTCTAAAAGTTGATATTTTATTGCTTCATTTCATGTTTTGTTCATTCTTTGCAGTATGGCGAGGAGACCAGCAGGTCAGTAAATTCAACTTTCTACATTATTTACTCTGATTTTTGATCTTGCTTTGAGGAAGTAAATGTGTCCTGCAGTGAATTCTACTAATGAATTCACTTCTGTCACGCATAATAATCTGGTGATTATGGCCTATATAACGACAAATGCCAGTGTGATATTAAATAACAAAATTGCACTTTCGTATTTGACAGGTCGCAGAGACGAGACTGAAATGAGTAAGTTCTCCTTCAAAAATTTTTGCATTAATAAGTAACATTAATAACGTTACTTAACTATAAATTATGTATATATGCATGTACAGTATATAATGTATTTATTTATAGAACCTTTTAGTGTTTACAAAGGGATGCAAGAAAGACACAAATAAGAAATATTTGTAAGAACAATATATAATATAAATCATATAACTATATAATGACTGAAATAAATGAACTTTTCCACGACATTCTAATTTATTGAGATGCACCTGTATATATGTATGTTAAATGACACTTAATTTGAAACATTAAGGAGATAAATCAGTGTATGAATTTTAGGGTTAAACGTAGAAATCCGGCTGTTTTCACACTGTTTTATTTTCTCATTACAGGTCTTCTCTTGAATAATGATGGTAAGTTGCCTAATTTGGAGGTATATTTTGATAGTTGGTTTAAGAACTTAATTTGTTTTCAAGTAGGATTTTACAGTAGCATTGATGCATTCCAAAATATTTGTTTGTGCACTGATCTGACAAAATAACAAAAGCGAAGTTAGTGAAGAGAAAAGATCCTGCAGGCCACTTTACATAAAACACACACAATAGTGGACAAAGGAATTCCATTCCACCAAATGAAGTGTTATGTTACTATATATAATAAAATTCAGTATAATTCATACATAATTCAAAGTATAAATGTAATTCAAATGCTGTGCAGACAAGACTCTTGTCTACATCAAAAGCTGCAGTGTAAAAACCAAATACACCTCAAATAAAAGCATAGATTTCTATTTTTCATGCAGATTTTTTTTTTTTTACTCTTTTTAACAAATGAAATATTGACAGATGAAGCTGGCTACTCTAGAGGATCCAATGAACAGCTGAGGTTTATGGTGCTTGGAGGTGATGATGCTCTTATGGATAAAGCATGTGGCACAATCCTGGGAGAAAGAGAGAACAGTGATGCATTTACATTTGGAATATTGAAGCCTAAAACAGCTCACGTTTGTGGACGAGAGGTTTCTGTATTAAAAACTCCATCATACTGGCTGGAACACTTGAAATCATACTACATTCTCAGCAATGGAGTCAAATCTCTGAAAAATGACCTGCAGTACTTTGAATTGCTGTTGTTTCCGGGAACTAATGCTTTTCTGTTAGTAAACGGAGATGTGAAAAACTCTGGTAGTGAGTATTATCTTTTAAAAGCTCTCAGTGGTGTGTTCGGGAAGGAGGTCTTGGACTACTGTGTGGTATTATTTATAGATGAGACTAGGCATGATGATCCAAGAAAGAACACCTGTTTGAAGATGTGTGGAGGCAGATACTACATTTTACAGAACACTGACGAAAGTCTTGATCTGTTATTTAAAAAAACAGGGGCAATGACACAGTGGAAAAGCAGCAATTTTTTCACAAATAATTGGGAATTTTTCAGAAAAGCTGAAAATTATTTTGAAACTGAGTATAAGAAAAAGGAGAATACACTAAGGATAGAATTGGCAGAAAATAAAGAAAGTGTTGAAAATCTAAAGAAGGAAATTAAAGATATGAAAGAACTAGATGCAAAGAAAGATACAGAATTCAATGAGAGAATCAAAGATGAGCTAAATAAACTGGCTGAGTCAAAAGACAGAGAAACAAAGCTACGCAGTGAGTTGGCTGCTCTCAAAAGCAGTGAAAACCAGATGAAGGAGAAGCTAAAACAAGAGATGATCATTCATGAAGACAGAGAAAAACAGCTACGCACTGAGTTGGCTGCTCTCAAAAGCAATGAAAACCAGAAGGAGGAGAACTTCCAGAAGCTAAAAGAAGAGATGATCATTCACGAAGACAGAGAAACAAAGCTACGCAGTGAGTTGGCTGCTCTCAAAAGCAGTGAAAACCAGACAAAGGAGAAGCTAAAGCAAGAGATGATCATTCACAAAGACAGAGAAAAACAGCTATGCACTGAGTTGGATGCTCTCAAAAGCAGTGAAAACCAGTCAAAGGAGAAGCTAAAACAAGAGATGATCATTTACAAAGACAGAGAGAGACACTTAAAAGATGATAAAATTAAACTTCAGAGAGACAAAGAGAAACTTCAGAGAGAAGTGGAACAGCTCAAGGACAATAAAAAGCAGTAATCTGACTGCAGCAGAAGTTAAAGAAGTGTTTCTACTTTCCAAATTACAATCAGAATGTAATGTGATCCAGAGAGAGGAAGACGTACGAGTCAAAGAAAAAGAGCTGCATGAGAAAGAGAGAGAACTGGATAGAAGAGTCGAGGAATTGGATAAAAGAGAGAGATCTGGATGAACGAGAGAAGCAGCTGGAGATCAGAGAGAGAGAGAAGTGAGACAGAGAGATCCTGGATCTAGTGAACATTGAAGGAGTGGAATCCTGGATTCATCACGGCCTTCATAAAATATATGAATTATCCTTTTGCATGATTATTGATCAAGTTCTTAATCAGTATTTAACTTCATATATTGCTAGTTGATTGAATAAAATTATTATTTACCATACACCAGTGAGTAGACATTGAAAATATATGTGTATAAATAACCTACTCTCCCTTAGTGAGAAGTTGTAATGTGTTACTAGGTTTTTAGGAGTTTTTATTTTCTCCATTGGGTCACTGTGACTGCCCAAGTTTGGCTGTCCAGGTTCAGATTCAGGGCTGAACCAGCCAACCTTGAAGTAGATAAGTGTTTTGTGCGCATGTCTGTCTGTGCAGGGCTCGTCTCCAGGGAGATGTGGAGACGGCACCCGAGGAGTAAGCATTCATATGGAGATCTGTCGTCAGCCGAATGACCTGTTACGTCTGACCCCTGATCGCTTGTCACCTAAATAATCACCAGGAGATCTGTTTTGAACTAGACATCCATGTGTGGAGATTTTCTAAGTTTATCTATGTTCTAGCCAATCAGAATTCTTCCTACCTATGCGTTGACGTAATTAGCAACCTCTGTTAGAGTAGAATTGGTGGTGTCTTGAGCATGTACGCAGAGCGGCCTACGAACTCCTTGAGAGTATTGAAGCTGATTTCTGCTGATGAGACTGCAAACTATTTTCTTCAGTAAATTTTTCTTCAATAGACTTCATCTCTGACTCCTGGTCTTCATTCATCATACCTGGTCCTTGGGTTTTAACTGTAAATTCCCCTACACTCTTAAGAAAAATGGTTCTAAACAGTACCAGAAAAGGGTTCTTCAGCTTGTAACAACAGCAGAACCCTTTATGGTGCTAAATAGAAAAGCTGTTTGGCTAATGTTGCAGTGAGCTTGTGTATGTTAATTAACATGATTTTATGTTTACGCGGCGCGATACGCAACGTAAAGCGTAAAAAGACAGTATAAGTCATTATAATCAGTAATTATGTCCACTGGATGCAACAAATGCCTCGTTTATAATGGGTTTTCATGTTTATGTCTTGTCGCTCCGGGACATGCATCACAGTATGGTGAGGGGCGTAACATTTCCGTCACACGCTTGAGGTATTCAGCCAATCACAACACACTGGATAGCTGGCCAATCACAGCACACCTCGCTTTTCAGACCGATGAGCTTTGTAACAATCGAAAACATGTGGAAAATAATGTGTTTTTAAACCTTAAACCGCATAAACACATTGCATTACACCAAATACACAACATAATGTTCTTTTTAGCAACACCATATGACCCCTTTAAGCTTAAATCTTTCCAAAACATGCTTAGCAGGATAAATTCTATGCAGTATTCACACTAAGACACTTCTTTAATTTTGTTATTTTTGTTAAAGAAAGTAAAACACAACCTAAATGTATGGTTGCTTGCTACAAAGAATCCTTAGATCCTTCATAATTCAACTCGGTGCACATCTGGATGTTTCTTTTATCTGACAAACCCAGAGAATCAGCAAAGCAGCTTTCAGACGCAGTCAGTGAGGTTCGACACCACAGTTCTGTGTGCTTGAGAAAAACTACAGCACCACAACGCCTTATCGATATTACCGTTTTCATTTTTAACTTTCGATATTTGCATTCACTTGTGATGTTTATATTATTTGGGTGTAATCTGCAAAACAAATTAAACATTTAAATATATTGAAATGCTAAAATAGGCGAGTTTTTTCAGAAAATCTTAGAAAAACCAAGGATCTTTTATTGGTAGGTTTATACTGTTCAACTGAATGGACTTGAAATGTCAGGCAAAAATTATTGACCTCTGTGACTTGACTGTATTTTTACTTGCAGGTTAAAATGGGGGCAACAGGGGTGAGTATAATTTAAGCATTTGATACAGTTTACTATATTCAGCTTTATGGCCTTCATAAGTAATTTACATTCATAGATGATGCAGTTGTTTATAAAAACAAAACGTTGTGATAGTAATTCTACTTATGTGATACTTTACCATTACATTTGTTCATTTAGCAACAATAGTTCTGAGCTTCTTGAGCTTCTGAGCTTCAACAATAGTTCATTTAGGAAACTTTTAAAGTTACTCATGCAGGTTGAATTCAGGTAAATTGAGACATACTTAAAAAGTAGCTCAGTTAACCTGAATTCATCCTTGATTGCTGCCGACATAACGGCTACATTTGAGGTTTTGGTTTATACTTAATGAAGAGTGCAATACTCATACGTGGATCAGAGACTTGTATCAGAGATCTCTGCCAGCACAGTTAACTAATCATTAAAAAAATTATGCAAGACTTTTTCACAAAACATTTGGAGTGTTTTAGAAAATATATTTGAAGAATCTGATGCTGATCTCAGAGGAAAATGTAACTATTTGACGAGGTGGCGATTTCATATGAATTTGATGTAAATCAAACATTTTTAGAAAAAAAATGTGAGCATGAAGGCCTGCCTCTAACCCCACTTCTAAACATAACCATCACTGCGGCGTGAGCAAATTGTACAAAGACTTATGAATTAAATCACATAATTAGCCACTAAAACAGTTATGAATTGCCATGAAATTGTGTTAGAATGTGAGAAAAGATTATTAATAAGCTGAGGAAAAATGGACAGAATTTAGAAGATATAAAAATAAGCTGTATGTTACCAAAGGCAGATTGATGACAGGATGAGTAGCGTTCCTTTTGCTCGACCAGAGCTAAACAAATACACATTTATTGAATTCACTGTAAGTCATTTTGGTGAAAATAATGATTTTCCCAATGAATGAATGAATGAGTGTGAATGCGAAATAATCTGTGATAAGCAAAGTATAAAAAAAACACATAATATTAAAATTGTAATGTTGCATCATACAGTCAAGTCCACCACCTGTAAGAACTCCATCTGAGGAGAAGAAGAGAGAACAAGAAAGAAGAGAGAAAGAAATGGGTGCTCTTCAAGTACGTCATGAATTGCCAGAGGCATCAGGAGCAGCAGCAGCAGAAGACCGACCGGACACAAGCTCAGGTGAGATGACACAATGCACTGAAAAAATGTACATTGGTCCCACATGAATCAATTAGATTCACATAATTTCAACATGACGGAATGAAGTCATTTTTCAGTGACCTGATTAAGTAGACTCGAAATTGATCTTACTGTGTATGCTTTTCTGACAGAATTAATTTATTCAGTTTTATATATTTTTTGTCACATGACTGAATTATATGATTGTTCAAGTTATTGGTTATCAATAGCACATATCAGCATGCTAAATACTAAGCATTAAACACTCTGAGAGCAGACAAGTCACAACATGCCCTGTACCAGCCCACACATAAGCAAATGCTCCACTCTTCTCCACAATGGTAACCCAGTGTAATTTAAACAGTTCTAATAATGCCAACATAATTGAATATTAAACACTATCAAGTTTCCCCTCTTTTCATCTTACTCAAAAACATATAAAATAACATTTAAATAACACATAACTGTTTTACTCTCCTCATTAAGTCCCAAGCAAAGCATGCTGGGAACTACAGTTTCAGAAAAAATAATTGATTTGGTCACATTCATCCTGAATAATTGAATCTAGTACATTAAGCACATTTTAGAGAATTATATTAATCTAAAACAAAGAAATCAAGTTTAGCAGAGAAACACAATTTTGCTGCATAGATCGCAAATAATATGATCTGATGAGTAAATTAGACGATATGTGTTTTCCTGTTTTCTCCATGTGGATGGAACACAACTGGCAGACCAATCTTCAATGAAGTGTTTCAAAGAAACACAAGAGATGCTGACTGAAGCACTGAAACCTGTGCGACGTAACAGCAACGAATTCAATCCCCCTAACAGTAAGAATTATTTTATCGATGCACATTTCAATGGACATGATGACAGAGGATCATGAAATAATTATAATTTCATAGGATACACTAAACTTTCACTTTTGATGCCAGATCACACACTGGGCCTCCAGTGAAAAGATACTGAATAATGTTATCAAATCACAACTCTGCACAACGCAGACCATTGAAATAAATCCAGCATACATTTAAAGTACACCTGTAATAGACCTGTATTTTTACTCATTGTTGCAAGCAACACATTACAAGTAACACACACCACATCATCAAAATTATTTTAGTGTCATTTATTGACTGATAAAATCATTTGAAAACCTCTCTCTTCCTCACAGCTTTGTAAGACAGACCTATGCAATGCATGAGTTGAGCAAATATCTGCATGAGATCCGTTGATATAATAAAAAAAGCCATTGGAAACACATTTCAGTGTTAGAGTCACATTTGGATGCAAAGTAATAGTAACAGATTAATGTAGAATTACATTTACAACAAATGTTGCTGGAAGAAAAAAAAGATATGGCATCTAAATAGTCTGTCTGTCTATTTTCACCAGTGCCTGAAAGTGAGGCCAAACCTCCAGCTACTCCCTGAACAGACCACGATTGGCAAGTTGTAGGATTCTCCAGGTTTCCAGTGAAGGTTGAGTACAAATGATCAATTGATTCATCAGTTGATATATACGATATGATATATAGTTTTATTGTTAGACAAAGACTGAATTTTATTTTTCTTGCATGATAGTATGTTCATTCACAATTACTACCACAGAGATCACCAGATCTTTACAAACTCTTATAACAAAACACAACGTTTCACAAGTTAGTGGAGTTTAGATTTTCCATATTCAATTCTAAGACAGCTTGATGCACAAAAGAGTGTTTTAAGTCTAACAGGTCAGGTCAGAAACAATTTTATTGGCCAGCCTCAAGAGGCTCTTCTGATAAGATAATTCATGTACCTTTTCAAGAGGCTGCCCTGCTATCTTTGAGCTCATTTTTATTCAGTTCAGCAGCTTTGTATTTAACCTTAAATGACAGACTCATTTACCAAATGGATTTACAGTACTGTAAAACACTCATGATCTTAGACATAATAATAAAACAATCTGTTTTCTTGCTCCACAGGACCTTAGTCGAAGAAAATAAATGATCTGCCTGGTCTTGTTACACATACTGTCTCTATGATCTTCCAAAGATAACATAACATCTATCATTATTCCTAGATACTTATATGTTACTACCTACTGTATAACAACTGTTTAAGTGTGATTACTGTGTTTATTATGTGTATGTATAGTGGTGTTTTCTGTGAAGCATGTTTGATGCTGCTTCTGTTTAGCATTTTTTGCTTACCTATATGTATCAAAAAAAGAAAGAAAATGCTATGCACTTTATAAGATTATGCACTTGATAAGATTAATACTTGTAAATCATGATAAGATTAAATATTGTTAGCAGTAGCACATTCATATTATATATATATATATTATAATATTTTTTTTTTTTGGCCAGAAGACACT